TATTTTACTTGAATATATTTTTTTAAATTTATTTTATTAATTTATTTTGATTTATTGACAACCACTTCCATATGCTTTTGAGTTTAAAATTTTTCTCCCCCTTCCTCCCCAAGACGGTGCACAACCTGATATATGCTATACATTTACCTTCCTATTAAACATATTTTCCCATTAGTGAAGTTATAAGTGTTTTGCTTTTGACCACCGCCTCCTTCAGTCCCTCCCTCCCTTTCCCTTTTCTTCCCCTTTAGCCTTACTGCTTCTTCCCTCCCTTCTATTCCCCCCTCCTTTTTCTTTCCCCTTTTCCCTCCTACTGCCTATAGGGCAAGTTAGATTTCTATAACTAACTGATTATGTTATTCCCTTCTTGAGCCAAATCTGATGAGAGTAAGTTTCAAACAATGCTCCCCCCCCCCCTTCTTTCCCTCTGCTGTAATAGGATTTTGTGTCTTTTCCTGTAATGTAATTTACCCTTGTCTGCCTCCTCTTTTCTCAGTACATTTTCTAAGATCAGACTAATCCACTTACTTGGATCCATTTAACCCACTTGATTAGATTTTTTTTTAATCATTACATCAAAGTTAACTAATATCCACCCCCTTTATGTATACTCAGTTCTCAAGAGATGCAAATGTCATCTTCCCTTGTAGGGATGTAAACAGTCCACCCTTATTAACAACATATTGTATCTTTCTGTCCCATTTACCTTTTCATGTCTTTCTTGAATCTTGTACTTGAAGATCAAATTTTTTGTTGATCTCTGGTCTTTTTGTCAGGAAGGCTTGGAAGTCCCCTCTTTCGTTGAATATCCATTTCCTCCCTTGAAAAATCATGCTCATTTTTGCAGGGTAGTTGATCCTTGGCTGTAGTCCAAGCTCCTTTGCCTTACTCAATATCATGTTCCACGCCCTGCAGTCTTTTAATGTAGAAGCTGCAAGGTTCTGTGTAATCCTGACTGTGGTTCCATGATATTTAAATTGTTTCTTTCTGGTTGCTTGCAGCACCTTCTCTTTCATCTGGTAATTTTGGAATTTTGCTATTATATTCCTTGGCGTTGTCAATTTGGGATCTCTTTGAGGTTGTGACAGGTATATTCTTTCTATGGTTATTTTACCTTCAGGTTCTAGGACTTCCGGGCGGTTTTCCTTTATGATTTCCTGAAAGATACTGTCCAGGCTCTTTTTTTCATCATGATTTTCAGGTAGTCCAATGATTTTTAAATTGTCTCTCCTAGATCGATTTTCCAGATCTGTTGTTTTACCGATGAGGTATTTTATGTTTTCATCTTTTTTTTATTCTTTTGTTTCTGTTTGACTGATTCTTGCTCTCATAGAGTCATTAGTTTCCATTTGTCCAATTCTAGTTTTTAACAGATTGTTTTCTTCTGTTAGTTTTTGTACTTCCTTCTCCAATTGGCCAATTGTATTTTTAAGGGATTTGTTTTCTTCAGTGTACTCTTTTTCCAGTTTGCCAATTGTGCTTTTTAGGGACTTGTTTTCTTCAGTGTGCTTTTTTTCCAATTGGCCAATTGTATTTTTGAAGGACTCTTCTACCTCTCTCATTAGACTTTTAAAATCCTTCTTGAGCTCTTCTAAGAAGGCTTTTTGGGCTTCAGACCAGTTCATATTCCCTTTTGATGTTGCAGATGTGGGTTTGTTGACAATGTTGTCCTCTTCAGAATTTCTGTCTTGATCTTCACTCTTCTCATAATATGAATCTATGGTACGTTTCTTTTTACTCATGGTTTTTCTTTATTCCCTGGCCTTTAAAGAGATTGAGCTCTCCTGCTGGGGAACAGAGGGCACTGACCCAAGCTTCTTGTGTTGGGAGCCTAGGTCTTGGTCACTGGCTTTGTGTGCTGGGGCCTCTTATGTTGGCAATTGGAGGCTGTAGGTTTCTGGCAGCTTACCTCGTATTGGGCTAGAATCAGCAAGGCTGGAACTTTCAGGCAATCCTAGGTTGCCTGCTTTTCCTTTCCTTTAGCTTTCTTCAGCTCCTTTTAGGTGGGTGCTGCTGGGTGTTTATCTGCCCGGGGAACCCTTGCAGTGCTATCTCCCTCGTTTCTGCTAATGCACTGGGAGATTCCTTTGCAGTAGAGTGTCGAGGCACCTGGTGGTTTTCTGAGCTGGCTTCCACCCATTCGCTCTGCCCTCATTGAGGCATTAGGAGGTCCAAGTGTTGGTGTTTGCCTGCTCTATGACCTGGGCTTCAGGATCTCTTCCTGGTTGACAGTTGGAGGTTCTGACAGCTTACATGGTGTTGGGCTGGAATCAGCAAGGCTCAGACTTTAGGAAGACTTTAGGTAGCTTTCTTCAGCTCCTTTCAGATGAATGCTGCAGGGTGCTTATCCACCTGGGCCCTTTGTAGTGCTGCTTCACTTATTTTTGCTGAGGCACTGGGAGACCCGTTTGCTGGGCTGCTGCACTGCTGTTCCCTGTCTTTCTTCTAGTTCAGCTGTTCCAGAGTTTTGTGTTTCTTTTTCCCTGGGGTGATATTTTCTGGGTTTTTAAAGGTTGATAGGAGAGGGTGAGAGTGACTACCTTTTTACTCCGCCATCTTGGCTCCCAGAAGCGGAAGTCTTGAATATATTTTGGAGTCATATTCTTCTTCTGGGTTTGTGTCTTGAGTATCCCTGTCATCACTTTCTATAAGACATTGTTTTTTGTTTGCTCATTCTTCTAGTTTATTTTGTGACTTCATATGTGATATTAGGGCCAGGTTCTGTGTACTTGTGAAGGGAAGGTCTGGGCTGACATTCTTGCTGCTTGCTTGGGCTATTGATTGTTGGGTTATTCTAGGATCTCAGGAACAGCTAAGGCTGGGGACCTGTAGATTTTCAGTGTTCCCAAAGGTCTGATTGAGGGCAAAGTAAAACTGTTACTGTCATTGTCTGGGCTTTACAAGTTCCTGATCTTAGTTTGGGTCTGAACAACAATAGAATGTCTTGGAGTGGTCAGCTTGGAAGTTCTTCTGACTCTGAGTGACAGAACCGCAGGTTCCCTTTTAGTCTGAGATTGCTGCTCTGGTCAGTCCTCTGCAGACTGCAGAATTGGCTAGAAGCTGGAACTGAGACCGTGTTCTGTTCCTGGGGTCAAACTCATATTGTTGTTTCCTTCTGAACTTGTCTCTCAGTGTAGGTCCTGAGGCAGTTCCTTAGCTTGGAAGGCCACTGCTGGGTGAAAGTCTCTTTTTGCAATCTTCACTGAATTAGGTAGTGCAGGTCAAAGCTAACAGTTGGCACCTCTTTCCATGTGGAACCCTTATTATGAGTCTGGGACCTTCACTTGATCTGGTACATAGCTTCTCCCTACATGCTCGGGTGTTCCTTGTAGTGTCAGCAGTCCTCTCTGTCTGATTCAAACTTTTGGGAAAAGTACTCACTAACAAAAATTGTCAGGAAAGCTGGAAAGTAGTTTGGTAGAAATTAGGTATAATACCAGGGGTGGGGAACCTGCAGCCTTAAGGCCACATGTGGCCATCTAGGTCCTTGAGTGGGGCCTTTTGACCAAGTCCAAGTTTTACAGAACAAATTCATTTATTAAGGGGATTTGTTCTGTGAAGTCTGGGTTCTGTCAAAAGGCTGAGCTTGAGCACCTAGATGGCCACATGTGGCCTTGAGGCCTCGGGTTCCCCATCCCTGGATAGACCAACATCTCACACTGTATACCAAGAAAATGTCAAAATGGGTACACAAAAGGGTACATCACATAAGGGTGATATCATAAACAAATTAGGGGAGTGTAGAAAATTTCACCTGCCAGATCTATGAATAAGGGAAAAATTTATGACCAAACAAAAGATAGAGAGTATTACATCAAATAAAATGGATAATTTTGATTACATGAAATTAAAAAAGGTTTTGCACAAACAAAATCAATGCAGCCAAAATTAGAATAAAAGCAGAAAATTGGGGGGAAATTTTACAGCAAGTTTTTCTGATAAAGGCCTCATTTCTCAAGTATATAGTAAACTGAGTCAAATTTATTAAAATAAGAGCTATTCCCAAATTGACAAATGGCCAAAAAATATGAGCAGGCAGTTTCCAGAAGAAGAAATCAAAACTATCAATAGTCATATAAAAATGCTCTATTAACCAGACTCTTTTTCATACCACTCTATTTTTACTAAAGGTTAAAGAAATGCAAATTAAAACAACTTTGAGGTACCACTCTACACCTATCAGTTTGGCTAACATGACAGAAAAGGAAAATGACATATTCTGGAGGGGATGTGGAAAAACTAGTACAATAATTCACTGTTGCTGGAGTTTGCATTGTTCCAACCATTCTGGAGAACAGTTGGGAACTATGACCAAAGGGCAATAAAAAAAAAAAGGGCATACATAGCCCTTTGACCCAGCAATACTACTACTAAGTCTGTATCCCAAAGGGATCAAAGAAAAAGAAAATATATACAAAAATATTTATGAGTTCTTTTTGTGATGGAAAAAATTGGAAATTGAGATGATGCTCATCAATTGGGGAATAGCTGAACAAGCTGTGGTATATAATTGTGATGAAATATGATTATGCTATAAAAAATGATAAGCAGGATGGTTTCAGAAAAACCTGGAAAGACTTATATTAACTGATACAAGGTGAATTGAGCAGAACCAGGAGAACATTGTAAATAGTAACACAATGTAACAATGATCAACTGTAGCTAAGGACTTAGCTACCCTGATCAATACAATAATCCAAGACAATCCTAAAGGACTTATGTTGAAAAATGCTATCCGTCATCAGAGAGAGAACTGATGAACTCTTAGTGCAAATTGAAGTATCTTTTTTTTTTACTTTTTCTTTCCTTTTTTGGCTACATGGTTAATATGGAAATGTGTTTTAAAAGATTTTGTATGTATAATTAATATAATGCTTGCCTTCTTGATGGGTGGATAAGGGACTGAGGGGAGGGAGAGAATTTTCAACTCAAAACTTTAAAAAGGAATGTTAAAATTTGTTGTGATAAATGTGCTATTAAAAGAAACTGAGGCATTAAAGTCCAAGCATAATCTCTTTATTGGCAAGGCTAGCAATTACCAATAATAGAGGTTAGTCACCAAAGACATACTTTATAGTCAGAGCAGCCTTTTACATAGTTTGGTTACTTAAGTTCATTTACATAAGATTTAGCGGTGCCAAATAAATTCAGACTTTGATTGGTACCTAGTTATGCTGATTTGCAAAAGGAGGGGAGTGGTCTCCAGAATTCATTGTAACAAGGAAAACATAGAGTTGAACATCCCTTGGAAAGTCTCCAACTGGATACCTCCCCTTCACCAGAGGGACCTAGTGGTAGGAAAAACATCTCCTGATAAGGTTGAATTGCCCTCCATCCATTTTCTTTATTTCCTTCAAGAGGCAGGGTTAATTTCAATTGTGTATGTAGTCTCTTCCAAACTTTTCTACCAAGGCCTATACAAAATAAATCCAAATCTAAGCTGCAGAAATTGGTTATAGTCATTACTAAAACTCTTAGCTATTAATCAATAATTAATAAATAATAATCTAAATTTCAAAAATAAAGAAAAAAGGGAAGAAAAAGAAAAACTAACTGTGACTTTGAATAATTTTTATTTGGGAGTGATTTTTCTTCTTATAAATTTGAAGCAACCTCTTATATTTCTTGGTTATTAGATCTTTATCAGAGAAATTTACTTCAAAAATTTTTCCCTCAGTTACCTATTTCTCTTCTATTTTCATCTGCATTGGTTTTGTTCTAGCAAAACCAAATCAAAACGGTTCATTTTATGTTCTGTGATCTTTCCTATTATACTTGTTTGGTCATGAATTTTTCTCCCATCTATAGTTGTGGTAGATATGTCTTTCCTTGCTTCCCTAATTTGTTTAGGATGTGACCTTTTCTGTCTAAGTCGTGTATCCATTTGGAGCTTATCTTGGTATTTACTGTAACATGCTGATCTATAGCCAATTCTGCCAGAGTACTTTCCTGGATTTTCATTTTTGTTGAATAGTGAATCCTTATCCAAAGTTGCCTCACTATGACTTTTTCTTGCCTTTCCCAATAAGAATTTGTAGATCATTGTAGAAAAAGGATACTGGCAAGCTAGAATAAAGTGCTTCTTCTCACTCCACCATCTTGATTTAGTCCCTGGTTCATTATCAGGTTAGCCTTTAAGTACACGCATGTTTCCCTGCTTATTTCTTTTTATCATGTCCATTTTCACTGTTGTCTTGTCTGAAATCATTACTGTTACTATTTTTTTAAAAAGTTCACCTGAATCATAGTGGATTTTACTGTAGCTACTGATTTCAACTCTGAATTTTTATCTCAAGAGTTTCTTTTAAGCAGCATGTTGTTGGATGCTACCCTATTCTGTCCCCTTTAGTTTTATGGGTGAGATCATGCTATTCATGTTCATTTTTATGATTGTTAGTTGTGTATTTCCCTACATCCTTTATTCTTATACTTTCCCTTCTTTTTGTCTCCAAGGTCCCTCTTTACAAAAAAGATGGCTAAAGAAAGAAGTTTGCTTAACACTGGTGATCTGTAATTGTGAAGGATTGCTTCCATTCTAACTCCATTCTTTCTTCTCTTCCCTTTTTCACACCCTTAATTACAGATTTTTGAAACTTCCTCTTCAGGATCCCCTGATGCTGGAATTCTATTTTGCTTAGTATTTCCTCCCTGTACTTCCTTCCTTCTTAAACCTTCCTCCTATTTCCCTGTTGCCATTAATAAATTTCTATACGAAGCCCTTTGTATGTGTGGGAATAAATGTGTGTGTTCAACCTTCTTTTCTCTGGTTCAGGTGAAAGTAAGATTCATGGGATGCTCACTTCACCCATCTCTTCCTTAATTTCTATATAATCTTTATTTCATGCACTTTTATTGTGAGAGATACTACCTCCTTCTTTCCTGCCCTATCTTTCCTATTTCCTTCTTCTAATGTAATGAAAACATAATCCCACAGCCTTCTATTTAACTTATTTAACTTTCTCTGAGATCATTGAGGTCATTAGAATTCTGAGAGAACATTCCCTCTTTCCTCCATTAGAAGTAAATAATTCATCATCATATGATATTTTTAATTGATCTAGTGTATTTTACCATTCTGTATTTCTCTTGACTCTTGAACATGTATTTCAAAAATTTTGCTCAGTTCTGGCCTTTTCATGAGGAATACTTGGAATTTACCATAGGATTATATGCAATTTTGACAGTTTATTCTTTGTTATAAGTCATTATATTTTGCCTGAAGGACTGACTCTTTAAGATAAAGGAATAAGGGAATTATAACACAATTGGAAATAATAATGGATTACAGTTATTCTTACCTAAAAAAGATGATAAAAATATACCAACAACTTCTAACTACATATCTACTTTATCTTTATGTAAACTATACATACACACCTACGTATATTCATATACATACATATGTATAGTATATCCTCAATGAAAATATGATAAAGCAATAGGCAGGCTTACAGAAATTTTTTTCTACTGTAGACCATATACCCAGAGTCACACAGTTGATAGAAAATCAAAAAGAATACAAGCTTCCATTATAATTATTATTTGTTGATTACAGAAATACATCTTACTGAGCAATACACAGACTTCAAAGCTGTCTTTCCAGAAGATGTTAATGAATGAGCAAAATATAGACTTCAAAGATCTCTCTCCCATGCATATGTTAAAATTATACATGATTCTCTACCAAATGGACCCACAAAGATATCTTTGTTCAATCATTTTATGATGATCAATATCAACTGAGGCCTAAAATGGATACACTTAAGAAAGGTGTTTGCCATTGTTACAGAAGATGTCTTGTGCAGAGGGGTTTTCTAGAAACGGCGAGTTCCAGATTAACCTATTTGTGAATGACATTGCGTTGATTGTATCAAGCCCAAGAATACTAGGGGGCCTCCTCAATCAAGCACAAAACTATATTTAAAAAGAAATTTTAAAAACTATGTGACTTCTTAAACCTAAGAAATCAAATAGGAAAAACAAAAATTGTGAAAATGCTTATTATTCATGGCATGTAGTTTGGATAGGCAACCCATTGACTTTGTATACCACTACATACATAGGCAGTGCTTTCAGTGATCCCAGGTTACTCTCTAATAGAAAAATCCATCTTTCTTAACATCAATATTCTCTTGTTGAAGCTGATTAGCTATCATAAAATTCCACAATATAAAAAAAAATCACAGATAATCCACAGGACAATGGAGAGATGCAGCAGACATTAGTAGGATGTAGCAGATAGCCAATGATAATTTGTTTGTAAGAACTGATATAAAATATATTATTTAAGATATGTAATATGATTAGAAAAGTGCTTGGCCCCAGTACATACTAAGGGATAATGGATAGTCTGAGTGACACACTGGTTTCTTTGGAGGGTTAAAAGAACCAGAGGAAGGCCACTAGGGCATTGAGTAGGTGCACTATGGGGGAATCACAGAGGTTAAGGATGTAATGATGGAGGAAGTACCTAAATTAATGAATTTGTTCCTCCAATAAATTATTGAAGTACTGATGTTCTAAGTGGGAAGTCGTGGTATATTTACTTTTTAGTTCTGTATGTAACTGCTGACTTTATCTTGCTTAGTCTGCTAGATTAGCATTATTCTCCAAATAGAAATGTGCAATGCATCTTCTGAAATCCAAAAGACTTGAAGAAGTATCAGGGCAACAGATTCTATATAGGTGCCATGCATTGTTCATGGCCACATCAATAATGTAGCTTACCAAAATTGAATACCATTTTTTGCTTCTAATTCTTATCCTGTACTTGGAAATATTTTCATCCATCTTGGCAACACCATACCTACATACTTCATACAACTTAACTATTGATGGCTGACTTACTTGAATTTTCTTTTTTTCATCAACAGAATAGCTTACTTGGCTCAGTGGTTCTATGCCCACAGCATTGGAGCACAGGTTGATGGAATTTTCATCATTCCAACGACACAGAATTATCTCTTCCTTTTCTTCCACTCTGAAATCAAATGACCCCCTTTTCATTTTTTTAATATTTTCTGCATTCATCAAAGGACATTTTTCAGTCCTATTATCACGAATTGCTCCTGTGGCCTTCACCCCTTTCTTCTTCAGAGCTGATATTAGTTTGATACTTGTGAAAAAGTTGTCAAAACATATATGATAAGGATGCTGTCCTCGCTCCAAGAGAATGTTAGCAAAGTTCATTACTAATTTTCCACCTAAACCAAGGTCATGATCTTTATCTGCTTTTAGGACTGGTTCAACTTGATAGGGTTCAAACCAAACTAAATAACCCTGGGTAGTTGCCCCACACCATATTTTATAACCAATTCTAATAGGTTTACCATTAAAGAATTGGTCACTATCAAAACATTCACACATTGATTTGTCAAAGCAATAATATTCCTCCAAGGGAGCATATAAGAGGAAATTTTTATTCATTTGATCTATAAGAGGCCTCAATTTTGTAAACTTGTCTGATTGATCTAGACAACTGTTATCTGCAAAATGGAGGTATGAAAATATTAATTCAAACCTTTCCCTTCTAATTGCATTGCTAACAAGACTCTGCTCTTTATCTGAAGTTTCCCAATACATTCCTCTCCTGGGATGACAAATATATCCACTCAAAAGAAGAACACCAAAAACACACTTCATTTCCTGAACTGTAACTTCCAAGGTGACATTTTTCTGAGCGGCATAATGATTTGTTTCATCAACAATTAACTTGAATGTTTCATCATCAAAAAATAATTCAAAGAACTCGACTGGACTTAGTTTCTCACTTTTGAGATTCAAAATTCCAGAATCCAATGCTGACCAGCTTGGAAAATTGGGCTGAATATCTCTTTTGATCCATTTCTTTTCTGTAAAAGTAGTTACTTTCTGCTTCTTTCTAGCAGGGTGTGACTCAACTTCATCTTCTTCATCAACATCAGAATCACCAGAGAATGTAAGACCTTGTAGCAATTCACTTACTCTTGTTTTGTCTTTTTTCCTATCTTTCCGTGTGATGTCACCTGCAGCATATTCCATTGACGAGATGTGCATTCTAGACCATAAATCCCCAGGATTACGGTCTTTAAGAGTATTCAGAAATTCAATGTTTTTTTCAGCTTGTACAGGAGGACCAACAAGGATCTGAGGTGAACAATCTCTAGAAAAGAAAAAAAGACACCATGAACTTTGAAAATCCGTATGACATAAAATTCAGAAACTAGGGAAGCATAAATATTCTTTGAAATAAGTTCCCTCCTCTCTGGTGAGACAGTAAAATTCACCTCTCCCTAAAAGCTGAGAATCTCTGGAAGATTTAGGAAAAGATGTACTTTAAAAAATACTTTGAAATGAGATATCTGAAGGAAATTGATACAAAAAGTTTAAAAAAAACCCTTAAAATGTAAAAAAAAAAAGGCTGGGATCACTGGTATTTAGTAACCTCAATCTATTTGTATCTCTAGCACTTAGCACAGTACTTGGCTTTTTGTTTGTTTGTTTTTTGATTGTTAACCATGCCAAGATAGAGATCAGTAAAATTAAGCCCTTTGATTCCCCCATGCAATCAACAATACAAGATGAAATAAGCTGCCAGTGAGAATTAGAGGAAATGGAAAAAATAAAAGATAATTTTTAAGCTTTCACTAATTATTTTAAAAGGACAGTTAAGTGGTACAGTGGGCAGAGCACTGAGCTTGGAATTAAGAAGACCTGGGTTGAAATCCAGCCTCAGATACTAGCTGTGTGACCCTGGGATTCTCATCTGTAAAATGAGGTGGAAAAGGAAATGGCAAACCACAGTGCCTTTGCCAAGAAAACCCTAAATGGGGTCACAATGAGTCAGACGTGATTGAAACGGCTTGAACAACAAACTTTCTGAACAGTTATTTCCTATGTAGCTAATCTTTTGAGTTTATCAAATAAAAGATTACTGAGTTCAGATATTTTTTATTCTTGATTATCTAGACTGAGGTAGAGAACCTGTGTCCTCAAGGCCACATGTGGCTTTCTAGGTCCTTGGGGGTGGCCTTTTGACTGAGTCCAAGTTTTACAGAATAAATGTTTTTGTTAAGGGGATTTGTTCTGTGAAGTTTGGATTTAGTCAAAGGGATTTACATCTAGATAAATACAAACAAAAGAGAAATGAAGTGTCTAAATAGAATTTTTGAAATGTTAGAAACGCTAGACCTCTAAAGATTACTGACAGGTAACAAAAAAGAGAGTGTGTGGAAAAAAAGAAGAAATAGCTCTTCCAGACCTCAAATTGTATTATAAAGCAGCAATCATCAAAATCATCTGGTTCAAGATTAGAGAGATAGATCAGTGGAACAGACTAGGGGAATTCAGAAACAATAGAGCTCAACAAGCCATTGTTTGATAAAAATGGAAAATCAATTATATAGGGGAAAACCTTTTTTTTAGTCATTTTTAAGTTGTGAGCAACTTTTTTCATTTATTTTATTTTATTTTATTTTTAATTTATGGAATAAAACAAGCCTTTCCATCACCCCATTTGGGGTTTTCTTGGCAAAGATACAGGAATGGTTTGCCATTTCCTTCTCCAGCTCATTTTATAGATGAGGAAACTGAGGCAAACAGGTTTAAGTGACCTGCCCTGGGTCATATAGCTAGCAAGTGTGTGAGGCTGGATTTGAACTTAGGTGTTCCTGAATCCACACCTAGTACTCTATCCACTGCACCACCTACCTATTTGATAAACACTGCTGGGAAAACTTTAAAGTCAGAAATTAGGTTCAAAGGGCAGCTAGGTGGTGCAGTGGAAAGAGCACTGGCCCTGAAGTCAAGAGGACCTGAGTTCAAATCCAGCCTCAGACACAACACTTACTAGCTGTATGACCCTGGGCAAGTCACTTAACCCCACTGCCTAGTCAAAGAAAAAAGAAAAAGAAAAAGAAATGAGGTTCAGATCAACATCTTACACGACAGTCCACAATACATTCTAAATGGATAGGCAACCTTAATATAAAAGATTATTCTGTCAAAAAAATTAGAAGAGAAATAGATTACATGCTATACTCATAGAAATGGGTAAGAGACGTACTCTTAAACAAAAGATGGAAGCAATTACAAAAGATAAAATAGCTAATTGGAATTACTTGAAATTGAAAAGCTTCTGCATAGACAACATTAATGCATCCAGGATAAGGGAAGTAGTCCAATGGGAGGAGTAGGGGAGAGGAATGTTTGTATCAGCTTTCCCTGATAGGAGTTTGGTATCCAAGCTACACAAAGAAGTAGTATATATTGTTATTATAATATTTAATATAATGCTTAGTATTATATATTAATATATTATGTTACATTATTGTAGTATATTATTTATATTTAAATTTCCCCTATATAACTGATGTTTCCACTTTTATCAAATGAGTTACTGAATATTATTGTTGCTGAATTTTCCTTGTTTAGTCTGGTCTATTGATTCATCTCTCTATTCTTTCACCAATACCAGATGGTAGTTATGGCTCCTGCTTTATAACATAGGTTGAGGTATGGAAGAGCTATTTCCTCTTGATTCCTGTTTCTTTTCATTTCTGTTGATATCCTAGATCTTTCATTTTTCCAGATGAATTTTGATATTTTTATAATTTTAAGTACTATTTAATTAGCATTGAATATGTAAATTATTTTTAGTAATATGGTCATTTGTATTATATTGGCATGGTCTAGCCATGAGCACAGTATATTGCTGTAGCTATTTAAGTTCTTTAAGGAGTACTTTGTAATTTAATTTATATAAGTCTTTTGTATGTTTGTGAGCTCCATTCCCCAGATATTATATGTATTTTGTATTTATTTGGAATGGGATTTTCCTAGGACTACTTATGTTTTTTTAAATACATAAAATGCTTGCTATTGATTTTTGAATATTTTGTAGCCTGTAACTTTGTTGAAGTTCAATTATTATTATTTTTTTTTAATTAGGCAACTGGGGTTAAGTGACTTGCCCAGGGTCACACAGCTAGTAAATGTCAAGTGTTTGGTCAGAGGCCGGATTTGAACTCAGGTCCTCCTGACTTCAGCGCCGGTGCTCTATCCACTGCGCCACCTAGCTACCCCAATTATTATCTTCTTTAAAATTATTATATATTTTTTATTTCTCTAAGACTTTCCAAGTAAATCACCATATTGTCAGAAAACAGGGATAGCTTCATCTTCTCTTTGCTACCTTTATTCTTTTAATTTCTTTCTTGTCATATTGCTATTGTTAGCATTTCCAGAACCATATTAAAAATAGCGGGGAAAATGGGCATCCTTGTTTCAGTCCCATATTTATGGGAAAAGGTCCTAGTTTATCCCCATTGCACATGATTCTTGTTTTTGGTTTTAGATAGATGCTTTTTATATTATTTTTAAAGTCCCTCTATGCCTATACTTTTTTTGGTTTTTAGCATAAACAAATGTTGTTTATGTTTTAACATAAACAAGTGTTGCTATCAAAGGCTTTTTCTGCATCTCTTGAGACGTGGCTTAGGATGTTTGGGTTTTTAAGATGATTAATGATGTTGATCATTTTTCCTAATGTTGAACCATCTTTGCATTCCTGGTATAAATCCCCCTGATCATCATGAATGTTTTCTTGGATAAATCGCTACAGTCTGTTTGGGGTTTTGTTTAAAATTTTTGAGTCAATGTTCATTAAAGCTACCAGCCTTTACTTTTCTTTCTGTGTTTATCTTTTCCTGGTTTAGGTATTAGAACTGTGTTTGTCTCATTAATGAATTCAGGTAGGGTGCTTTCCTTATCAGTTTTTGAGAATAATTTCTATAGTATGGGTATTGATTATTTAAAAGTTTGATAGAAATCTCCCATGAATTCATCCAGACAATGAGTTTGTTCCTTTGATAGTTGCTTTACAGCTAGATCTATTTCCTTTTCCTTTTTTAATTAATTAATTTTTAGTTTTTAACAATCACTTCCATAAGCTTTTGAGTTTTAAATTTCCTCCTCCTCCCCAAGAGGGCATGCAATTTAATACAGGCTTTACGTATACATAAAACATATTTTCACATTAGTCATGTTGTAGAGAAGAATTAGAACCAATAAGAGGAACCACAAGAAAAAAGAAACAAGACAGAAGGAAAAAAAAGAGCAAATAGTATACTTTGATCATCATTCAAACTCCATAGTTCTTTCATTAGATGAAGATAGCATTTTCCATCATGAGACTTTTGGAGACGTCTTAGATCCTTGCATTGCTGAGAAGAGCTAAGTCTATCAAAGTCAGTCATAGCACAATGTGGCTGTTACTGTCTACTATGTTCTCCTGGCTCTCTATTTCCTTTTCTAAGATTGGGTTATTTAAGATCTCTATCTGGTCTTCTGGTTTATTTTATTTGGTTTATATTACATTTTTTAAGGTATTCCTCATTTTTTTTGTATTCTCAGTTTTGTTAGTATATAATTGGGATATTATGTTCTTATGCTACTTCTTCTGCAGCTTTTTATTAGTATGACTTTACCTTGCTCATTTGCTATTTTGTTGATTTGATTTTCTGCTCTCTTCTTTTTAATCAGATTTGCTAATGGTTTATCATTTTATTAGTCTTTCAAAGAACTAGCTTTTACTTTTATTTGTAATTTCTATGGTTTTTTTTGTTGTTCCTAGCTCATCTATTTCCCCTCTAGTTTTTAATATCTCCTCTTTTGTGTTTATTTTAGGATTTTTTTATTTTCCAGTTTTTACAAAATATGTATTCAGTTCATTTTTTAATACTTTCTTTTTCCATTTTGTCAATGTATGGTTGTACGGATATGATTTCCTCCCTGACGACTGCTTTAACTGCATCCCATGGTACATTGTTTCATCACTGTAATTTTCTTTTACATTATAAGCATTAGAGACAAAATTATAAATGTTGTTTATATAATTTGTCTTTTGATCCACTCATTATTTAAAATTTTACTGTCATTTGGGTCTGTATCTTGTTTGTGGTCTCTGAACCATTTTCTATTTTTATTCTGTTATGGTCTATAAAGTATTTAAGTATTTCTGCTTTTTTACATTTGCTTGCAATATCTCTGTGCCATAGTATATTTTTGTGAAAGTTCCATGTGGTACAGAGAAATATGTGTAGTCTTTTACTGACCCTTTTAAGAAGATTCGCCTATGTTGCGCAGTGGATAGATGGACAGGCTTGGAGTCAGTAAGACCTGAATTCAAATCTGGTCTCAGACACTTACTAGAGTTGCCCTGGGCAAGTCACTTAAATAACACAATCTTAGAAAAGGAAATATACCCAAATGGGGTCACAAAGAGTCAGAAATAACTGAACAACAGCACAATTCTTTTAACTCTAGTTTTCCAGAAATTTGTTTAGTTCTTATTTTTCCTTTGGTTTAGACTTATCCAAAACTGAGAGAAGTATGTTGAAGTCTCCTGTCACTATTGTGTTACTGTCTATCAATTTAGATGCTAAATCATTTAGGGAGTATGTTTATTTATTAATGATATTGGTTTGTTGCCTGTGGTTCCTTTCATAAAAGAGTTTCCTTATTTATCCCTTTTTATTTTGGGGGTTTATTTTTGCTCTGTCAAATAGCAGCATAGCAACTCCTGCCTTTTTGGATTCACTTGATGCATAGTGAAGAAAACCTTGGTCTCTCAGCTTTTTGTATGTTTTTTTGTTTTTTAAATGGGTTTCCTGCAAGCAACAGATTGTTATAGGACTTTATTTTCTTATCCCATCTGTCACTTTTTCATTTTAGTGAACTGTTTAATCTATTCCCATTTAAAGCTATAAAGCTACATATTTTCCTCCGACTCTCTAAAATTTTTTTAAGCTATGATTTTTTTTAATCCTTTTCTGCTGTAAACACAATATTATGTTTCTTCAGCTAGTTTGATTTAATTTTTTTTTATAGTGGTCCTGTTCTGATTGGCGCTCTTGCCCTTAAGCTGATCCTCTTCTTTTGATATCCCTTTCTCTTTAGGGTTTTGCTTATTAAATTCCTTTTTCTCTCCAGCTTATTTCTGGTTACATAATTCTTCCCCTTTTTTTCTTCCTCTTAGTTTGTCAAGTAGGCTTCCTCTTCCTCACTTTCTCATCTTTTTAACTAGTCCTATTCATTAGTTTTCAAAATTAATTCTTGTGCTCCTTTCCAATAGGATCGCTCTCTCTCTCTCTCTCTCTCTCTCTCTCTCTCTCTCTCTCTCTCTCTCTCTCTCTCTCTCTCTCTTCCTCCCCTTACCCCTGCCCCATTTCACTCTCTCTCTCCATTATCCAGCCTCTGTCTACTCTAGACACTCATTCTTTGATTCATGACCCCTATAATTATGCCAGTTGCCCCCTGGGGTTTCAGTTTCCCTCCTCCCAGTGTGGCCTAAGAAGACTTTTCAGCACTAAATCCCCTAAGCCTTACCCAGTGTAAGTTCTTCATCTCCATTCACCGACTATCTCGCTTTACTCATTGGAACGTTTATCAGTAGAACCCTCTCCCAACACCAAAATAAGGCCTCCTTCCTTTTCAATCTTTCTTCCTGTCTTCTCATTCACTACCCTATAGACTTTAACTTTCTGAGACCACCTTCCCCTCATTGCTAGATCGTGATTTGACTCCAGTATGTCACATGCTCCTCTTTATCCTCCTGCTTCCCTTGCCCCCTTTCATGTATCCTAGCATGTTGTAATATAGTCACACACAAAAAAGCATTGATTTACCTAGAGACAGAATATCACCAGATTTGGTCCATATTGCCCCATCTGCATCTTCACTGTTACCTTACATTTCCACCTTCATCACTGGCCTTGCCTGTGGCATTCCATCATATTCAAGGCACTCTCTCATCACCTATGACTCCATGGGGCTTGCCTTACCTCTACCATTCCATCCTGATCTAGGTGCTTCCTCTAGACACCTATATTTCCACAGCAGTTGCTTTGCGTGCCCCCCCCCCACACTTTCCAGTTACATACAATTATCTTATGCCTTGGGACAACTCCATCAAAGCCCTATGACAATGATAAATTCATTCCTCAATGATTAACATATTTCCACCCTGTCATACTCACCCCATCCCAGTGATTCTGAACCCCCAATTGCCATTGTTCAAACTCCATTCCTCAATCCCCAGTGATCACTCCTTTATTCCCATCCTCCTCAATTCAACCCCACCCCACCCCCCGCAACTTCCCGCTCTAAAGCTACATAACCCTTCCAACATGCTTTCTGGAATACCTGCTCCATAGGTAACAATCCATATTTCAGATTAAAACTGTTCTTTTCCTGCTTCCTACATCTTCTTGCATGCTTTTGTCAAATGTAATATCGTTTTCTCAATACTGATCCTTCTTGACCTCTCTCCAACCTCGACACTATTATCAGCTTCTTCTTCTTGGGTTTTAAAGACACTGCTGTGCCCTAGTTCTCTTTCTACCTCCACAACTGTTCTGTCTCTTTGGAGGGACCTTCATCCATATCTTGCCCATTAAAATGATGGGTGTCCCCCAAGGCCTGCCTGGGCCCTCTTCTCTTCTCCATCTATCATAACATTAGGCTCCATAACATAATCATTAGGCTCCATGGTTTCAATGATCATTTTTATGGATATGATTTCAGATCTGTTTATTGATTCCTAACCTCTACCAGCTTCAGTCTCATATCTTCAACTGCCACCTTGAACTAGAAGTCCTGCAGACATTCAAACTAACAATATCCAAAACTGAACTATTTTCCCCACCCACCCCTCTAAACTTTTCCTGCTTCCTAACTTCCCTAATACTGTTGAGCGTACACCATTAGCTCCAGGTTCTCATCATAGATGTCATTCCCAATTTCTTACTTTCACCCCTCTTATGCAATCAGTTGTCAAATCCTGTTACTTCTACCTTCATAAAATCTCTCAGATATGCCTCCTCTCTTTTGACACTATGACCATCCTAATGCATACCTTTATTACCAGCAATACTCTGTCTCAAATCTTTCCCCACTCCAATCTATCCTTCACTCAGCAGTCAAATAATCTTCCTGGGATGCAAGTCTGACCGTATAATCCCTTATTCAATAAATTCTAGTGACCCCCTATTGCCTCCAGGATCCAATAAAATCCTTTACTTGGCTCTTAAAGTCCTTCATAACTCAGCCTTACCTTACCTGTCTTCTTAGATATTATTTTCCTCCATGTACTCCGTGATCTAATGACACTGGCTTTTCTTTGCACATGATACCCCATTTCCCCACTCAGAGGAATTTTATTGCTTCTCTCTAGGTAGATTTGTTTGCCTGACCCAAAGAGTAAACCTGAGCTGTCTGCTGTGAGCTCCATTCTGATTAGATAAGCCAGCATCCACAAGAATGAATAATTGTGCAGGGTGATCTCTATAGCCCAGAGATAGCCAGAGGAGCTTTGCAGTGCTGTGGCTTAAAGGGAATTGTTTCTCCCATGATGCTTTCTAAAAGCCTTGTTAAGGGTGACAGTGAATTGAAAGAGCTTGTAAATGCTATGTTTAAATAATAGAAGAGGATCTGCCCACTGAAGAGTGGTGAAGACCAACAAACATGCAACAAGCAGAGAAGCAGTTTTATGTGATGCAGATGCTCCGGAATAGACCAAAACAGCAAAACCTGAAGGCCAGAGTTATGAATTCCCCCAGACACATAGGTTTTCTTTCCTCTTGTGTTTCTCTGTCAGGTTTCTCTGTGTGCCCATTGTTCACTATAGATATTAAATACATCAGTGGGAGAGTGTGAATTCAGGTTTATATATGTGTTATATATGCACTGATTATAATGTATTAGTATTTGTGATGATATTTCTTTTGCTGCTTATTAGATAAGTGATTATGTTTAATATCCAAAAGTATCATTATAGTGTTTGGTTATATAAATAGACAATAATAAAAATTATAATCATGATGATGATATTAATAATGATAATAGCATATATATCACTTTAAAATTTGCAAGGCAATTTACAAATATCTCATTTTATCCTCACAACTCTGGGAGGGTTTTTTTTTACATTTTTTTTACATTTTACAGATGAGAAAACTGATGTTAAATGACTTGCACAGCTAGTAAGTATCTACGGCTAGATTTGAACTCAGGTCTTCTTGAATCCAGATCCATCACTGTATCCACTCTGCCACTTAGCTCAACTGTTAAAATGTTGATAGGGAGAAGGTATTTCCCCTCAACAGTATTACTCCTTAGAGTCTGAGAAAGTTTGAGGGGAATAGTAGGGTAGTTGTTTATCTCTGAGAATCTAGACCTAGCAGGTTGAGGGTAAGTTAGAGTGAAGAGACAGTGGATATTAAGAAAAAAACATACACATACACATATACATATATGTGCATATACAAATAGATACAGATATACACAAAACACATATTTGAGAAGTGTCTCATTATGAAGTACTTCTCCCTATGGAGTACAGAAGAAGTTGTGTGTTTTGTAATTTATCAGGAATCTATACAAAGACAAAGAGGAAAAACGTGTTTTGAAACCTCTTTTGTCAGAATTGCTATAAGTAATATGTTATAAGGAAACTTCAGGAAGAGAATTCTATTGTAACATAACTAATGATGTCAGATTAAAACTACTGGGTGTAGGGCAGCTAGGTGGCACAGTGGATAGAGCTCCAACCTTGGAGTCAGGAGGACCTGAGTTCAAATCCAGCCTCAGACACTTGACACTAGCTGTGTGACCCTGGGCAAGTCACTTAACCCCAATTGCCTCGCCAAAAAGCAAAAAAACAAAAACAAAACTACTGGGTGATAGACAAAGGCCACATATGTATGACTCCCCAAAATATATATCATGGAAAAATGTATACATACACATATTTACGGGAGAGATAAAGTCAGAGAAAGACAGAGAGACAGAGATATAGCTTCTTATCTACCTTTGATATGCAAAGATGACCACCATATACAAGGCAAAAACTCTATAAATGTAAGAATCATGCAAAAGCTTTCATTTGAAGTTCTCAATGAGGTTTTTCCTTATCTATCACACATTATTGTCTTGCCTGCTTTCCAACTTGTTATTTGTAACACTGGTAACAAAGATAACATACCTTCTTAGTGCATGAGAGACCTCTTCTTGTGAGTCTATTTCTTTAGAAATTTCTTGCTTTGGAAGCAACATTCCATCTTTAATTATGATCTCTCCAGCTGAAATAATAAATGAAACATACATATGTCACCTGATTCCTATTCTAGGAGAAAGAAACCTAAGGTAAGGGGAACAAGATGATCTAAATGAAACAGTTGTGATGGGAATGCATGACTTACTTGCAAAATGTGTCACAATATGTAGAAAGAAGAAGAGAAAGTAAAACAGAAGTATTAAAGAGATAGGGTAAAGAGGACATAAAGTCTTTGGAAAGGGTCAGATAAGGAGAGGTGGGAAAGGGGTCACACAAGGATATCTTTAAATAACAAGAAACATTTATGAAGATGAAGATGTGGCTAGGGTATTAAGTGGAGCTTGGAATTGGCCACAGAATGAAGAACAGGTTTACTAGAAAAGGTTATAAGTAGAAAAAGAAGAGTAAGAAGATGAGAATAGAATGTGGATATAGATGTGTTTGGGGTGACTAGGAAGCATAGAGGCTTAGAGAAGACAGGAAACAGTGGTAACAAATATAAATAGCAAGAGAAGATGATTATCAAAAATGTGGAACAATGATTGGTGATTAGCTGGGAGTAGAATCAAAAGGGTAAAGTCAGGGTTGGAGGGTTAAGGAAGGGGGCTAGAGTGGTGCCAATGGTCTTTCCTTACTTAACGAGTCAAGGTTCCTAAAATTCTTCAGTGCCACATTCCCACATGTATTCTTCTGAGCTGGGTCAAAACACTGCCACTCTTCTGAAACAAGGAACTTCACTTCTTCCTCAGTCTTCACCAATGTCTGAATTATGGAAAGATCAATCAATAAGCATTTACTAAGTGCCTATTTTGTGTTAAACACTGTTCTAAGCAATGAGGATACAAAAACAAAAATGAAAAAGTCCTTGACTTCAAGGAGCTTACACTGGATGGGGGAAATACTGTGTGTACAGAGATAAGTATATATAATACATATAGAAAGGAACTACGAAGTAATTTCACCAGGGGTGGGGGAAAGGGAAGCCTTAGCTTAATGGGGGAAGGGGAAGATGAGGAAACGTCTTCTACAGGAGGTGAGGAGGTTATGAGCTTCAAAAGAAACTAGGGATTCTAGAAGGCAGAAGAGAAGAGTGAAGGAATTCCAGGAATGGGGAGGAAAGGCACCTACACAAACAGCAGAGTAAAGAGATACCTTGCTAATTCTTGCAAATGAAATTAATCAACAAATATTTATAAAACCTTGCCCAGTGCTACTCCAGACACTATAGAGGACAGTGGATTGGTCAATCAAGAATGGCACAAGCAACTATTTTTGCTTTTCTTTGTGTCCCCACAACTGTGTGTAGCATATAGTAAGCTCTTATAAATGTTTGTTAACTGATTGGTGACTTTCAAACATGCCTATAAGGAAAACCTAAAATTAATCTAATGGATAGCCATCCTTTTAGTTTCAGATTTTTGCCATAATTAAAATGTAAATATTCTCAGGTGGAATAACACACTAAGCCACAATCAGTGATTTCATTGAGAATGAATTTATTAGATCCTTTCTTCCACAGACCTAATGAAGGCACATGACCACTTGGTCTCTTGCTACAGGGACAATTTCACCACTCAACTAAGACTAAAACAGGTTCATTAGTGGGAAAAGAAGAGTAGGAGGAACAGAGGGATAGTGTAGCCATGGAATGGTTGGGATGACTAGGAAACATGAAGGGTTAGAGAAGGCAGACAATAGCAAACAAGTATAATAAGCAAGAGATGAATAATGGGAATAATTATTAGTGGCTAAAAGAAACAAAAATTTCAGTGGGAAGTAGAATCAAAAAGGTAAAGTCAGAGTTTGGGGTGGTAGTAGAGTGAACAAGGAGTTGTAGTTTTTGCATAAACAAAACCAACAAGAAGGTAAAAAGGTAACTAGAGGAAAAAAATCCTTTGCAGTAAGTTTCTGATAAAGGTCTGATATCTAAGATATATATATAAGCAAATATGTATACAAGTAAATCTTCAAATTTGTAAGAATATGAGTCATTCCCCACTTGATAAATATTCAAAGATGATAAACAGGCAATTTTCAAGGAAAGAAATTCAAGCTATCAACAACCTTGAGAAAAAAACTTCTCTAAATTACTAATAATTAGAGAAATGCAACTTAAAGTAAATCTGAGGTACTACCTCACATCTACCAGATTGGCTAACATGACAGAAAAGGAAACTGACAAATGCTGGAGAGGATGTAGAAAAATAGGTTCAGTAATGCACTTCTGGAGGAGTTGTGAATGGTACAACTATTCTGGAGAATAAATAGGAACTATCCCCAAAGGGCAATAAAACTGCATATCTTTTGTTGTTGTCGTTCATCCTTTATTCTCAAAGAGGACCAATAAAGGTGATGTCTTGACTTGTGAGTAAATTGGTGTTTCAGTGAGGCAGAGCTACACGAAATCATCAGTCTCACTCTCGCCTCCAGAGTCATCAAAGTCCCATGGCAAGACAACGGTCAAGACAACTGGTGATAGCCCAGGATGCAGTGATTAGTCCTAGTTCTAACACTTATTGAGCCTTATGACTTTCGGCAAGTCACTTATCTTCTGTGAATCTCTCATTTTTAGGCATTGGACTAAATGATTTCTAAGGTCTTTTCCAATTCTAAATCCTATAATTCTATTAAAGTGTAAACTTCAAGTTTACACAGAGTTTGAACTTTATGGTCTTGTTGAGGTTGTTAGTAAATTTATAATAAAATATTTCTGAAAACAAATGGAGACAGTTTGAAATCGCTGCCGTGGGGAATATACTGGGAAATCACTGAAAGATGAGCAAAAAAACTGTCAAGAAACAGAGCTCAGCTAAAATTAAATAATATGACTTGTAGTCTAACCACCATAACTCCATGACAAAGGAGAGGAAAGTGCCTGATAAATGGGGGCTAAGGATGTCTAAATAGGTGATGAAGAAAGTGGAGAAATGTTATTTAAAGAGAAGAGGAAAAGAACAATAGAGATAAGGAAGCTTCCCAGATGTTTCAGGCTCAGGTACTGGGGGTGCCTCCAAGATGAGATAAGATAAAGGCAAAGTCAGGGGGTACCAGTGGATGGGTGAGGATAGAGTTGCATGTCAGAGAGGATGGAGGAATCATAGCTTACCTGGGATTGAGTAGAATTAAAAACTGATACCACTGTCTGGTCCCTGAGGAGTTCCCCCTGGTGATGAGAAGAAACCTGCGAAACAGGGACAGCTGAGGGAGGAGAAAAAAGTCATAAGTAACAACAATTCTGGTCATGTAATGACCCTTCATCATGGGGCCCAGAATCACTTATCCTCTAGACTTTTTTAATATATGTTGAACACTGAAAATTGTACAAATTATACGAAAGACAAGATTCCTGCTCTCTCTGATCTAATGCAAAATTATTTTCAGTCTGCAACAGACCTCTAAGGTTATAAATTTTTAGTGACAAAACTAGGACAGGGTTTGTGTATAATATTTGAGAGGGGAAGAAAAGACTGATATGATAACACAGAAGGCTAACTTATTCACCTCAAACTCTGCTTTTGTTTTCTCTTCCAACAATGGCCTTTGACCTGGGAAGAACAAGGGACAAAGTTGAAACCCAGAATAAATGATCTGGTGGTAAGAGAGACTCTAGCTGACTTCAAATTAATTTAGGTCACCAGACACAGACCAACTATATACTAACGTAGTAAAAGAATTAGTACATACAATTATTATAATGCTGCTATTAGTGGCCTCTGGAAGACTATGGAGAATAAGAGAGGTGTTATAAGATTGGAGAAAGACAAATGTCCCAATTTTCAAAATTGGTAAGAGGTAAAATCTATTAACTAGAGACCTTCAACTCCTGGCAAAATTCTAAAAGGCTAAAAGGATGTTTTGTGATAATTTAGAAAGGGAAGCATTGCTCACTAAAAGAAAACATGGCACCTTTGACCAGTAATAACATTGCTGGGCATGTAGTCCCATGAAAGTCACAGTTAGACACATAAATACCAAATAAATGCAACATAAATACCAAAATATTTGTAGTCGCATTTTAAGAAAAATTTTACTGATACTTTTTTATATTACTGTCATTTCCCAGTACTAACCCCAACAACTCAAAATAGAACTCTCTTTTAACAAATAAAAATAGTTAACCAAAACAACCCAACACACTAATTATATCTGACATTATTTGCCTCATTTTGTAGATCACTCCCTCTGTTCTGAAAGGAGGAAAGTATATTTCTTCATCTGTCTTCCAGGACCAAAATTTGTCAATGCATGTATCCAAATTCTCATTTTATGTAGTTGTATTTACTTTATCATTCTTGGTCCTGGAAAACAGATGCTCTGTGGAGGATCAACAAAGGATAAAAAGGCATTAGTGGATTGCAGTCTATACATGTGGAGTGAATACCCAAGTGAATGAGATCACAGATCCACTAAAGGGAACTAGAAGGGAAGCACATGGGAATGAGGGAAAGGTAAGACCCTAAATTTATGGACCTGAGTAAATGGGAAAATTGTGGTACCCTAAAGAAAAATAGTGAAGTTTAGAGGAGAACAATGTTTAGAGCAGAAGATAATGAGATTGTAGGATGACAGATTTAGAGCTAGAAGGGCTTTTGCAAGATATTTTATTCCAATCCCATCGGTTTACAGATGAGGAAACTAAAGAGATAAAGTGACTTGTACAGCTAATACATTTCTGACTTGACATTTGAACCCAGGTCTTCCAGACTCCAATTCCAATGCCTTATCCACTATGCCATGCTACCTCAAAAGCAGGATTTGCTTTGCTTCTGCCTGGTTTCAAAATGGTTACATGTGAAGCAAATGTAATAAACACCACACTGTGGAAACCAGTTTGGGGCATATTGATTTTGAGGTACCTAGGGGACTTCCAGCTGGCCTAGGGTCAGGAAGACTCGTCCTTTGTGAGTTCAAATTTGGCCTTAGACACTTACTAGCTGTGTGACCCTTGGTAAGTCATTTAATTTGTATTTGCCTCAGTTTCCATATCTATAAAATGAGCTGGAGAAGAAAATGGCAAAACTACTCCACTAATTTTGCCAAGAAAACCCCAAAACTCTTCTCATGAAGAGTCAGACACAACTGAAAATGACTAAACAACAACAACAAAAGGGGGCTTCCAGGAAGAGACATTCAGCACACAGCTGTCAATGTAAGAATGGAGTTGAGGAGAGATATTCTTTCTGAATACATGGATTGGACAGTTATCTGCATAGGTATAATTGAACAGCTGATGAAATCTTTCTAAGTGAGAACTTGTAGGGAAGGAGGGATAAGAGTCCAAGACAGAACCTTCAGGAACAACCACACTGACAGGACAGCAAAGAAGACTCCAGAGTGATGAGACAGGAAGGAGGACCAAGAAAGAACAGTGTTATGGAAGCCAAAGAAGAGTGGCATATCCAAGAGGAGGACTAGTCTAATAGCATCAAAAGTTGCAAAGAGGTCACAGAAGGTGAGGCCTGAGAAGAAGACTATCAGTTTTGCTGTGAAGTGATCCATGATGATCTTAGAGAAATTAGTTTCAAGGAATTGTTGGGGACAGGGTGTAAAAAACGAGATTGAAAGAGCTGAGAAGTGAGTGAGTAGTGAGGAAGTAGAGGCAGTAAGGAAAAACAATTTTTTTTAAAGAGAACACTTTACTAAAAGTAAATCCAAAAAGTGTGAGCAGGGGACTCAACTTTAATAAAGAAATAACTGAAGTTAATATCACGTTAAGAGCAACTAATTTCTCAAACATTTTGAGCATTCATTCCAGCAAATTAATTTTAAAAACAATTATTTTATCAAGCTTTTTCTGTGCATAAGAAAAGAGTGTATAAGTTTAGTTTAGCAGAAGAATTATCAAGTTTTCATACTAGTCATATTGCTATTTTGTATCACTAAAAATGAACATAATTATGGGGCAGCTAGGTGGTGCAATGGATAGAGCACTGGCCCTGGAGTCAGGAGGACCCGAGCTCAAATATGGCCTCAGACACGTGATACTCACTAGCTGTGTGACCCTGGGCAAGTCACTTAACTCTGATTGCCTCACCCCCCAAAAAAAAACCCAATAAAAAACATAATTTCAACAGTAATATACTTTAATATTGCAATTATTGTATACCCAACTGGACACCTAGTTACTAGGCTAAAAATAAATATTTTAGGACTAAGGGTCAAGTAAGAAACAATATTTTCTCTGACTCCCCACAACCTTTCTTTCAAATCTCTCCAAAACACAAATTATGCACCAAAGATAAGGCAACTTCAGTTGTCTACATATCGAGACCTCATCTGGGGTTGTGACCCACAGGTTAAGAAGCACAGAAGTGGTTGTGAATGGAAAGAGTTTAAAAAGCCCTGGTCTAGAACATCTAGAATACAAAAGAAGGTTTAAAAAAAAACCAGGAACTGATGCTCACTTGCACTTGGGACTTCTCTTCTACTTCCAATGCTACTTGCAGCACTCCACTAAGCCTGACGAAAAGAACACAGTATCCAGCTGGGACCATTTTTGACCACCAAAACATCAACTGGGGCAGACACCTAGTCTGGCGAACCAGAAATTGCTGAATGTGGGAGAAGGCTGTGACACTTTGACTTCGAGCCCCTGAGGAAACCACAATCAGGAAAGGAAATCAGAAGTGAGCAATAAAGAAAATAAGTGAGGGAAAAAAGATGGAAAGTACCAAAGATTTCAAGAAGAAAAACAAAACCTCAAAGACCTTGAACATTAACAGGAAAAACAATAAAAATAGAAATAAATATGGCCTCCAGATCTAGTGAATAATTTCAAGCATCTATTAATAAATACTATAAAATAAAGGAAAATAATCTAACATTTGTTGAGATAGAGGATCCTGTAGGATGTAAAGACAACATGGAACCATGACACACTATTTCTGAATGGTTTAAAAGAGAAATGAGAATATTAGAGCAGAATTTATGTCCTGCACAGTAAAAATAATTTGCAGAACAGAAAAACTAGAATCTGCAATGGCAAACCTCACTAAAGAAATGAATGCAAGAACAATACATTGGGGAATGCAAAAACACAAAAGTGAAGGACAACCTAGAAGAAAAACAAAAAATAAAAGCATTAAAAGGAAGTATTGCTCACAATGGAAGCAACACATACCGCTATCAAAGAAGGATCAGAGGGATCCCAGACAGGACAAAGAACCTCAACACTATAATGAAGAAAATCATAAAAGAGAACTGCCCAGTACTTCTGACCATAGAAAATGAAATTCCAACTGAAAGAATCCACAGATCACCCCCAGAAAACAACAACAACAAAATAAGGTTGAGGACTCCAAGGCACATAGTGGTTAAACTTCATAATTTCAATTCAAATCAACAAGTTCTGCAAGCAATCTGGAGAAAGACCTTCAAATACAAAAGAACAGACTATTTGATGCAAGACTATTCCACACAGACTAGAAAAAGAAGAGATGAAATAATGTGTTTGGAAGAGCAGTGGAGCCCTGGATATAGCCCATCCTATCCTATAGTCTTATCCTGAGCTTAACCATAAAGGACAAAATATGGATGTTTAATAATAAAGAAGAATTTGTAACATTTTTAGAAAGAAAACTAGAAATGAAGAGATTATTTGCTTCTCAAACACCCCAGATAACAGAAATGCAAAAGTAAATGAATGCATCAGGTGAGGACAACAACAGCAGTGAAGTAACCACAGAAAGACCAGTAGGAGACTTCTTTCTAAATGTACACAAAATGACAGAGTTAAAGATGGAAGAGTGCTGGGAGACAGGATTTGCTTATACTTTAATAGTAACCAGCAGGCAGCCAGTTAAAGTTCCAGATATCCAAGGTTTCCAGATTCTGTCATGAATATACTAGCAGTCAGACCACCTAAGAACAGTAAAGATGGTAAAGATTTTTGAGGCTTGATTTGGAATCACTACTATTTCCTGGAAACTTGTTTCTTCTTTGGAAATCCAGTGAATCACAGAACTCTATCAGTAACTTGCTTTGTATTTCAAAGAGGTCATGAAACCATCTTCTCATATACAGCTGTTCTTCTGGGACTTTTTAACATCTATGTGATCAATGTGAATGTGAACTTTTGGACATTCTTTGCAAAGAAATTTGGCCATAGATGGTGCTTCTTTTCTCTTTCCCATATACTGAAACATTGTAAATTGCATCTTAAGTAATTCTTCATACAAAGACAACATATGTTGCCTTTATTTTTGACGTCAGCACATGTTTTAACACTGCAAGACCTTGTCTGGCAGCTTGTTTGACTACGTGCAAGAACTTTTGTTAGCTCGAAATTCTATCTTGTTGTCTCTAGAATAATCACAATTTTTAAGAAAAATCACTGGAGTGCTTGCATTCTCAAGATCTGCAGCTTGCTTCTCATTTCCTTTTCATTAAATTTGGCACTTCATTTTATATAGCTCCATGCTAAGAAAAATACTACCATAGAATGGAAGCCACTTTTAAGCCATTTCTTTTTCAGGACTCAGTGTAAGTGTCCAAGAGTATTCTGCCTGATTGCCAAAATGTCAGCAACAATTCTGTCAACTGATGATTTGGTAAATATATTATATTTTCTTAATGTTTGGACAAGTTCTCATATAGTATTATCAGGACAGAGGTGTGGTTTTAGAAGAGCACTATGCTGTGGTAGATGGTGTAAAAGTGATTGTCCAGCTCCTGATGCACCAGCCTAACCAGGCCAGGATGTAGGTGGGGGCCATACCCAGCATCATAGCCAGGAGGACATAGTACATGGACTTCAATGTGGAACACGAGGGACAGCAATATCTTCCTGCTTTGGCTCTCTCTTGAAGTGTTGTAACTAGGTCACATGCTCTTCTTGTTCCTCCTTTCCTCTCTTTTCTGTTGTAGGCCAGTGTACCACCAGGCCCAAGGGGGAGCCCTTAGCCGCAAGCTGCCAGAACTTTTGCCTACTCTGGAGCTGCAGCACTTTTTACCTTCTCCACCACCACCATCAGTGCCACACCCCCTCAGTCTTAGGGGCTGCAATACTGAGTGGCAGGCAAACTGCTTACATTAAGGAGTCCGGCTCCCCTAGCTTTCTGCTCCCCAGGAGACACGGACACAGATATTACGCCAGTGAAAGCGTAGCAACCTGGGAGCTATAGGGACACAGCTTCTGGTTACCTCAGGAAGAGTTATGGCTCATGACCCTCTTCTGACACCATATTGCTTTAAACAATTCTTTTTAAGAATTTGGCAATTGAAGGAATGAGGGGATATCATTGATTTTTTTTTTTTGGAAGATGAGCAGCCTTAAGCATGTTAGCAGGCAGTAAGGAGTTAGTAGATAGGTTCAAAATTAAAGTGAGAGGGAGGAAATGACCAGCAAGGTGAGCCATCGGAAGAGACAGGCAAAGTGAAGGGCTACTTCTTATTCAAAGAAGGTGATAACAAAGAAAAGGACAGTTAAAGATGTAGAGGGGTTCTGATGTATGGAGTAAGGGAGGAGCTCATAGTAGACAACTTCTATTTTCATTAAAATAAAGTTTTGTTGATGCTTTTTGTTTTTCATAAATATAATTTTTCTATATTCATACCTATTTCTTTCTCTACTCCTACACCCCCAACAGAACATTCTCTTGCAACAAAGAAAAACAGTTAAATAAAACCAACTGACACAGAAAGTAAGGAGAATGTTACATTCAGCATCTGTAGTCTCCATCCAATCTTCCAAGAAAGATTTGTATGTTTTCACCAGCTCAGCATTGGGTGTAGATCCTAGAACAGAGCTGACCTGGCAAAAACAGAACCAGGGTCTACATGTCTGCCCTGCCACCCTTACCAGTCTATATTGGCTACTAGTCAAAGAACAAAGATCCTTCTGAACATTCATCACTCTGGGAGAAACTTCAACATTAAAGAGTCCTGGGGCATAGCTGACCTGGTTGAGTACCTCAGACATGCCTCGTCCCTTTATAATGTCTGATCCTAGGACTCTATTGACCCCTGTGTTAACTGTCAGACAGGAATAGAGAACAGACATCTGCTATGTGTGAGGAAAAGTATGCAAAGGATACAAAGAAAGGCCCAAAAAAGTCCCCCCCCCAAGAAACTCACAGTCTGCTATGGAAGGCAACATGCAAACAGCTATGTCCAAATAAGATATCCATATATCTATCTGTCCAACTAGATATATTTCACATGCACAGATATACCTACATATATATGAAGAAAAGATACATATCTTACATAAGGTATACATATATAAGATATATCATGTTTTATATATGTGGGTGTATATCTTGTTTGCATGTTGTCTCCCCCATTAGTGGGTTCCTTGAGGGCAAGAACTTTTTGGACTGATTTTGATTTGATTAATACCACCTCTGTGATTCTAATTTATACCTACACACACATACATATATGATAAATTGGAGATAATATCAGAGGAGAAGAGTTAAGAAATTAAAATTAAGGAGGATTGGGAAAGGCTTCTTGAAGAAGGTGAAGCTTGAAGGAAACCAGGGAAGCCAGGAGTGGGAGAAGAGGAAAGAATGAGATCCAGGCATGGGGAACAGCCAGTGAAAAATGTCAGAAGTCCAGAGATAGCATGTCAGGAACAGCAAGGAGGTCAGTGTCACTGGATCACAGAGTACATGGAGGTTTAAAGTTTAAGAAGACTAGAAAGGTAGAAAGAGGCCAGGTTATGAAGGGCTTCAAAAGGCAAAGAAAGGATCTGATATTTGATCCAAGAGGTAACAGGGAGTTGATTGAACAGATATGGTGAACTATAGGAAGTTCATTTTGACAGATGAAGAAGGATGGACTAGAGTGAGGAGAGACTTGAGGCAGGGAGTCTCTCAACCAAATTATATGACTTTTGAAATTCTGCTACTTCTAACAATACTTCTACCGTGGATCAAAAGAGAAGTGATTACTTTCCCTGTGCATGAAGAGATGAGGACCTGAACCAAGGTGGTGGCAAGATTAGAAGGAGGCAAATCCAAGAGATGTTATGAAGGCAGAATAAACAGGATTTGGCAACAAATTGGGCACGGGGAGCAAGAGTGAAGAGTCAAGTGTGATACCTAGGCTACAAGACTGGGTGACTAGGAGTACAGTTTTGCTACTGTGAGGCCCAAGTAACAGATATTCAATATGTAACTGTCAGAGATGAAACCAAGATGAAGAAGACTAGGATTCAGTGGATGGAAAATTATAAAGTGGAACATAAGAAAGACGAACTCAGTTATGCCTAGCTTCTAAATACAATGGCGTTACTCAACAATCCCTGGTAAATTTAAAGGTAGGTAGGTTAATGAGGAGATGGTTACTATGGCAAAAGGAATGAATCTATGGGAAGTCACCAAGTCACATATTTAGACTATCCAAATATTAAAATTATGTTGTATGTATTGAAGCAACGTTGTAAAGTGAAAAGAACCCTGGACTAAAAGTCGGACTACCTGAATTTTAGTTCCAACTCTGCCACTAATTAGTGATACACAAGTCATATCATCTCTTCAGGCCTTAAAGGAATGATGAGGTTGGACTAGAAAGTCTCTTTTAATTCTGATGCTCTCTATTCCTTTTGATATAGGCTTAGTCATGTAATAGGACTTGAGTCCAAGGATCTATTCCCTTAAGAAGGCAGATACAGGGCCTCCAAAAGAATACAGAAGTCCAAATTCTAACACTTACCATTCTCTTGTAAGGGACAGCGATCCTGAGATTCATACTTCAGCTGGAGGCTTTGTGACTTCTGGGATTCTCCTTGATGCTCTGTCTCCTCTGAGTGTTCTTCTAGTCTTTGTGCAAGAACTGAAATCTAGGGACAAAAGGTTATAAAGGCACCATTGAATGAACTGGATTTACACTAGCGAGAAGAGACCATAAAGTACATTTCCCAAGGAACTAAAAAACAAGGGGAAAAGAAACCAGAGTTGCATTCAGTTCTCTAAAGCAGCAGGAGAAAAGAGGGAGCAAGACAGACCTAGAGATTAATGGCTAAGTAAAACCAGTTACAAGCAAAATTTGACTAATTTAAACCCAGTGCTACATCCATCCTTATGGCTTCTTTCATTATACTATTCTCTTTCCTACCTCTTGTCCACCTTCATTCGGTTGTTGCTCCAGTTCCTCCAATATAGTAATTACTTCTTCGCTGTTTTGTGGAAACTGCTTCTTCACCCAGGCCTGGAGCTCCTGGGGAAGGATAGTCAGAAATTGCTCCAGCACCAACAGCTCCATAATCTCCTCCTTTGTATGCACCTCAGGCCTCAGCCACTGACAGCAAAGCACCCATAGTTGGTTCAAAGCCTCTCGGGGCCTGGTTGTCTTCTGGTAGCAAAACTGTCTGAAACGCTGCCGAAAGGCCTCCTGGGTAAAACTGTTTAATTCTGGTTGGCTGGATGCCTGTTCCCAAGTACAGTCTTCTTCTTTCACTTTCAAAACTTCCTTCTGTTCCTCTGGAACTGGGACAGAAAAGCCTTCTGACATCTTGAGATTAAATATCTAAAAAGGTCATAGGATCATAGATTGAGTTGGATGGGAAATTAATCCAAACTTCTCATTTTACAGATGAGGAAACTCAGGCTTAGATAGGTTACTTATTTTACCTAGAGTCACAAAAGCAAGTGTTTGAAGTGGGATTTGAACTTAGGTCTTCTTAAGTCCAGCACTCTATCCACTGTAATTATTGCCTCTTGATCACTTAATCTAGGTTTTGAAATTAAAGTATAATTTTCAAGGAAAAAGTAGTTAAGTAAAGATTAGAATGTCAACTCTTTATTTATTCCTTTTTGAGGAAAAGCAATGACTATGAGAAGTACTTCCCTCAGGTCACATCCCCCAAATCCTCTGCAGTGTAAAGTAATCCATATGAATCTCTTAAAGGCATCACTGAAGATATTGCAGGTCAGGGAAGCAAATCTGTGACTCCAGCCAAAATGAGTGATACTTGTGTATTATCTCAACACACTAAAGTTCTCTAACTGAAAACATGGATTAAACCAGCTTTCCCTTTCTGTCTCTCTAAGTAAAACTAGTGAACTGATCTTCCTCTGTGATTATTACTGTTTAAAAAGTAAGACTTAAAAATGCTAGATAGGACCAAAGCTAAGCTCATTATCTTCCCCCTAAAACCCTCTCCTCTTCTTAATTTCCCTATTACTATATTCAGGACATCACCATCCTCCCAGTCGCCCAATATCTCAATCTGGGTATTATCTTCTACTCCTCACTCTCCTTCACCTCTCATTTCAGTCAATAAACATTTATTAAGCACCACTATAATAAGTAGTGGCAACACAAAGAAAGGCAAAAGGCAGTTTCAGCCATTTCTATCTTTATAACATCTTTTGAATACGCGCCCTTCTGATACTGCCACTACCTTGGTCTTCATGATATCATGCCTGGATTATTGCCATATCCTGCTGGCTGGTCTCCCTACCTCAAGTCTCTCCCCACGTTAGTACATTCTCCCTTTAGCTATCAAAACAATCTTTCTAAATTACAGGTCTTTCCTTGTCATCTCTCTATCCGGTCAATTATGGTGGCTCCCTGTTGCTTCCAGAATCAAATATCAAATCCTGTTTGGCTTTTAAAGCCCTTCATAATCTGGCCCCTTCCTACCTTTCCAGTCTTTTAACACATTACTCCTTCTAAGTACTCTGACCCAGTGACACTGGCCCCCTTGTTGCTCCTTGAGCACAATACTCCATCGCCAGTCTCTAGGCATTTTTACTAGCTGTTTCCCATGCCTGGAATGTTTCCCCTCCAGGTTTCCCTGGCTTCCTTCAGGTCCCAGCTAAAATCCCACCTCCTGAAAGAAGCTTCCCTGCTCCCCAACCCTGACCCTGTTCCCCTTAATGCTACTGCCTTCCTCTAAAATTAGATCCAATTTGTCCTTTATATGTCTTAGTGAGCACAGTTCTTCACATGTTGTCTATCTCACTAAATTCTGAACTCTATCAGGGTAGTCACTTTTTTTGGCCTTTCTTTGCATCTCTAACATTTACCACAGTACCTGGTACATTGTAACTGCTTAACAAATGCTTAATGACTTGACTAAGTGACTCTAGAGCATTTTTTGTGGAACCCTGTGAACCAGCATAGTCATTTTGTTTGGGATTATGTAAATATAATGACCAAAAATCCATATTCTTTGACCCAGAGATTACATTGCTAGGTTTACCCCCAAAGAGGCCATTAATAAGAAAGTCCTTATATACACCAAAATATTTATAGTACCTCTTTTTGTGTAGCAAATAAGTGGAAACAAAGTAGATAACCATCAACTGGGAAACTGCTAAACAAATAGTGACACATAAATGTAATAGAATATTATTGTGCCATAACAAATGACAAATGTAATACAGAGAAGCATAGAAATATTTCCAAGATCTGATAGTCAAGTAAGTAAAGCCAATAAAACAATACTTATACAATGAATGCAACAGAAAAAACAACCACTTGAAAACAATTAAAAGTGAATTTTGCAAAATTACACAAACATGGCCCCCAAAAAGAAACATGAGAAGACACCCCTAACCCTCTCCTTTGTAGAAGTCAAAGGGCCACAGGTGTGGGACACTGTATAAATTTTCAGACTTTTTCAATATATTAGTCAATTTTAATTTTTTCTCTAACCTTTTTTCTTCAAAAAATATCATGTATAATATACATGGCTTTCTTGGAGGGGGAGGGGGAAGGTATGTTGGGAGAAATTCCGATGATGTAAAAAAAAAAAAGGACCAATAAAAATTTATTTCAAAAAATGGGACTGGAAGTAGGAAAACTTGGGTTCAATTCCTGACTGATGCATAATAACTATGTGGCCAAGGGTAAGCTGCTTAAACCTTCTATGCCCCTGACAATATAAACTATATTTGAAAAGAGTTTCCACACTTGGAATTCCCCACATTGATGAAACAAGTTTCTTTCCCACCTATCCCAAATGTGCTACACACTGTAGGAAAACACTGAAGATACAAAACTAAAACAATCTTGGCCTCAAGAAGTTCATATGCTACTGAGGGGTGTGGAGTTGAGAGAGAATATACACAAGTAAAAAACATAATTTGAGAAGGGAAAGAGTAATAACAAATGGGGAAATAAAAAAAAAGTTCAGTCTCAATGAAAAGACAACTATTCTACTTGGTGGAGATGAGGAAGAATTCCTTCTCATTCTGGGCACTGACACTACTTGTGCAAACACAAGAAGTGGACTGCTAACTTTCCAGAATAGCTAGTCATTCAGTCTGGCTGAATATTGAGTTAAAAAAGGGGAGTAATTAGAAAATATGGCTGGAAAGGCAAAAAAAGATCTAGAATGTGCACTCCTTTAAATGCCAGGCTGAAGACTCTGTATTTCAGAAGGTATTGAATGGTGATTGAGGATTTGAATCAGGGTCAAGTGACCAGGTGAGTAGAGATAAAGGAAATGGAAGAGATGCAGTAGTCACTCTCTATCTTCTCCCTATCTTGACTCCTTGGTGAACCAATTTAACTCCATACTCTCTTCCCCTCTTGAATCCCTAGTCCCCCTTACAATATTGCTTATTCTACCAAGATAAGCATCAGCCTCAATCACTCCCATTATTCATTGCCTTTACTTCAACTGAAGGTAGAGAAAATCAGACAACTGTTCTGACTGGGTCCACTACAAATTTATGTTATATAACTTTAAATGGGCCTTCACTGCTGCTAGGCAATCTTACTATACCCCCCTTATCAAGTCACTAACCTTCTTTTCATAGCTGCTCTTCCAAACCTTTTCATCCCTTCTCAAACCTCCCATGACCTCCTCGTTCTCTCTGCTGAGTACTTTCTCTCATATTTTACAGAAAAAAATTGAGGCAACTAGCCATTAACTCCTTCTTCTACAGTCTTCTGCACCTCCAGTGACTCAGATGTCTTCTGCCACTTTCTTCATCCCCCCATTTCACATGATGAAGTGGCCTTACTCCTTACCCTCTACTTGTTCACGTGATCCTACCTTTTCCAAGATTACCCTGTCTCTCATCTTTACTCCTTCACTTAGTTTCAATCTCTCCCTGTCTACTGGCTCATTTCCAATTGCTTATGAAATTTGTCCACATCTCCCTTATCCTGAAGAATCTCTCAATTGATCCTTCCATCATCCCTTATCTCTTCTGCCCTTTGTGGTTAAAACTCCTTCCAAAGGCTGTCTACAATAGGTGCCCCCACTTTCTTTCCTCTCAATCTCTTCTTATCCCCTTACAGTCTGGATTCTGACCTTATCATTCCACCTACACTGCTTTCTCCAAAGTTACTTCTGATCTCTCAGTTGCCAAATTCAATTGGCAATTCTCAATCCTCATTCTCCTAGATCTCTCTGCAGCCTTTGATACTGTTGATCCCTCTCTCCTCCTTGATATTTTCTTCTCCCAGGTTTTTTAAAATACCCACTCTTTCCTGTTTCTTTTCTTACCTGACTGCTTCTCTGTCTCGTTTGCTGGATCCCTTCCACATCACACCTTCTAACTGTAGGTGTCCTTTAGGGTTTCTGTCCTGGGTCCTCTTCTCTTCTCCCTCTATTCTACTTAACTTGGTGATCTTATCAGCTCCCATGGATTTAATGGGATTTAATTTAATTTTATATCTACACTTATGATTCTCAAATCCATCTTTCTTGCCCCAGCTTCTCTGCTGACCTCCAAACTGGCATCTCCAACTGACTTTCAGACATCTCAAACTCGATGTTCAGCAGACATCTTAAATTCAATCTGGTCAAAACTGAACTCATTATCTTTTCCCCTAAACCTTCCTTGCTCCTACCTTCCCTATTACTAGAGAAGGCAACATCATCCTCTCGGTCCCTCAGGTTGACAATCTAGGAGTCATTCTGGATTCCTCACTCTCATCCCCACCGGCACCCCATATCCAAGCTGTTGCCGAGACGTGTCAATTTCACCTTTACAACATCACTCAAATATGCTCCCTTCTCTCCTCTGAAACTACTACCACTCTAATGCAGGCCCTTATCACTTCACACCTACCTGTATTCTTGCAATAGCCTGCTGATGGGTTTGCCTGCCTGAAATCTCTCTCCCCTCCAACCCATCCTCCATTTAGCTATTAAAATGATTTTCCTAAAGTACAAATTCTGCTTCTTCCCTGCCCCCCCCACATACTGCAGTGGTTTCCTATTGCTTCCAAGGGCAAATACAAAATGATCTGTTTGGCATTCAAAGCTTTTCATAACCTAGCCTCCTCCTACTTTTGAAGTCTGTTGATACAGTGACACTGGCTTTCTCCTTCTTCCACTCTGACTACTGACCTCCTTGCTTTTTTAAGTTCCAGCTAAAATTCCACCTTTTACAGGAAACCTTCCCCAACCTCTCTTAATTCCTGTTTGTGTCTGAGACCCGATTTGAATCCAAGTCTTCCTGACTCTAGGGCCGGAGTGGTGAGGCCAGAAGGTAAAACAAAACTGCCTCCTCCTCACATTTCTAGGAGTATTCCTGAGGAGTGTGGGGGTTTGGGAAGGTAGTGATTCCCTAATGCCGCTGGCTACAGCCTCCAGTGGTGTGCTTTTCCTCCTAAGATTATCAGGAAGAGAAGGAGAGGCGGCTACGATGATGATAAACAATAGCCCGTAACTGTTAAGTCAAAATGGCTCTGGGGCTCAGAAAATGTACAAACGGGGGAAAACCGTACTCCTACCACTAGAGCTTAGGAGAAAAGATCCCAAGGAAATGCCAGGGAAGCCTCCGCCCCTGAGATGGCCAAGGCGGTCAGCACCGTCGGTTACCCAGAAATCCTCCGAGGCTTCAATGATCAGAGGCGCAAATGAGGAGCACAGGCCCGATCAGGGCTGGCCTTTGTCCAGAGGGAGGAGGGAGGAGCGGCCAGAGCCTCAAATGAGCTCCAGAAACGGACGCCAACCCCCCAAACGCAGGGTATTAAGGCCTTTCTCCGCTTTCCCTAAAGCGCTTCCAGCAGCCAGGGAGCCTGAGGATGGGGGCAGAGGGAAAGTGGGGAGAGCAATAGAGGGGAGAGGAGCCGGGGAAGGGAAGAGAGAAGAATGAAGAAGAGGGAGAAGGAAGCGTTTCATCCGCACATCCTCCCAGGGCAACCCAACCCCTCCCCCATTCCCCTCAGCGGCACTCACCACAAACCCTCCGAGGGATGCACCCCTGAAAATGAGTGGGCGCTCAAAAGCGACTAGGCTCTCTACGATTCGCCCGGCGCCCAGAGGCGCGCATGCCATTTAGGCTGCTTCTCAGGCTTGGGTCCTCTCTAGGAATCTCAAGGCGGACTGGCTTCATCTCTTTGTTCTCCTACCTTAGGGTACCGCCCACCGGGATGGAAATACGGTGGTAGGGAGAGGGGGATGATGTGGTCTCTTCGCTTGGAACCGTGATCTGTCAGACCCGCCTTTGACACTCTCAGCTCTACAGCTATGAATCCTTTTCCTTTCTCACCATCTCTGTCTTTGCTGTGACTCCCAGTCCTTTGGCTCTTTCTCAGTCAAAACCTGTCTTTCACAGTCTAACAGCTCAAAAGTATTTTCTCTCTCTCTTCTCTCTCTCTCAGAAGTGTATATTTTGATGTAATAATAATAGTTAAATTCTAAATCATATTAACACTTGCATAACTCCCAACAATTCTGTGAGGTTGGGGGGAATATAGATAAGGAAACTGAGGTTCAGTCACATCAAAGTCTGATCCTTAATTCCACCTAGAATGGTCAGTCATCACTATGGGATCCAGTATTTCTGGTCCAGAATAGAGTCCATTTTGACTAATTTGAAAAAAAAAATTCAGAGAGGGCTAGTCTATCTAAGTCTGATCTTGTTAAGCTCTGTCAATCTAAATGGCCATCCTAAATGTATTTAAATGAATGGCCCTGGCTACCTAATGGTACCTTTGGTCATGAAGTTTCACAAATTCTGGAAGATAAAATTAGTTTATTTGGGCAACCCTGAAAGTGCACACTCTTTGGGGGTACAGGAACCCCAGAGGCAGTATCCTATCCCTTTAAGGGACAATAACATCACTTTACAATCTTGCAAAAAAAAATTCTATATGAAATTCTCTCACTGATAAATTTTGTTCTTCAATGAGTGAGATGAAAAGAGAGAAAGAGAAATAAGAGTAGAGTCCCAGAGGCAGGATGACTACCAAGTGTGACTGATAGCTGCCTGTCAGCAAAATTCTGACCAAGAATGTTACTTTGCAGAACTTAAGGAGAGCAAAGGAATTAAAATTTGACCTCTCACTTGTCTAATTACTGCCACAAACCCAGATACCTGAAAAAAGTTTCCAGTCCACCCCAAATAACCAATATTCCCCCCAAAAAATTTCACTAGAAGATAAGGAAGAGAATGAGAATTATGCTGAAAATGTGTTTTCCAAAATATATATACATATATATACATATGTATACATATATACATACATATACATATGTATACATGTGCATACATATATACACATATACACATATATACATACATACATATACATATATATATATGTATATATATATATATATATATATATATATATAGTCTCATTTCTGTGTTCCTAGGTCAGGAATGGGAGAGAGAGAGAGAGAGAGAGAGAGAGAGAGAGAGAGAGAGTGATTCTTTCTCTATTTTCAGTAATCTATGACATTTTAACCTAACCAGAGACTAAATTTGAGATTAAAATTTAATTTGTTTACTATGCATTTCCAAATTATGCTGAAAATGTAGTTTTTATAAGTGCTGAAATATCCTAATGGGTTTTGAGGTTGCAGCTCTCTAGGACTTTTTAAAATAGAAAGTTTGTGAAATTTTCATGCAAATAGCATTCAGACTCCTTTATCATTCTTTCCTTTCCCTGGGAGAATTATAGATTTATTGTTTTAGGGTAGAAGAGGAAGGTAATTTCAGTGACTAGAGAATTCTCAGGAAGCCTTAAGCAGAACTGAAGCCATTTAAAAAGTTTTATCTCCAGTGATTCCAAAAAGCAGGAAACAAAAAGCCAAGAGTTTTGCAGTCTGCAGTTTCTAAACTTCTCCTAAGCAATGAGCACTAAGAGCAAGCTGATCTTAATTACTATTTATTGGTTTCTAAATACTACTAGAATAGAATACTAAAATTGATGGATAAATGAAATTATTTTTCCATATAAGATACATCAGAAGGACATTCCCCTGAATGATGCCCCTGAATGGCAATAAGATTTGTTTCATGTTTTAAACCCATAATATTGTTTTATATTTTGTTACGCTCTTAAAATTTTTGCATTATGATTTTACCACCATATAAGAAATACTGTTTATTTGAGAAATGATACCTAGATTGTGATGAATTTATATTGCTGTCACTTTTATATGAATGCTATGAAGTGATGAATTTGGACTATCACTTATTAGGGATTTTTGTCCTTATAGTGAAAAAAAATCTTGAACATTTAATTGGTTATATTTTGCTTCAAAATCAATAATAATGATGTTCACTTAGTGCTTGGGCAAAGTACAAAAATTCTCATTATTTGTGAAGTTATTTGAGGGCTTGTCAAGTCCTCTGGATTTTCAACCTTGACCAAGGTCATAAAATCTTATGATTGTGAAAGAAGGAGATATAAGAACATATGTGGCTAATGAGAGAGTTTTAAATTCTAAGATTCTTACCTGGTTTACTGAGGAGCTACGATCCTTTCTTTTAACACAAACACTAGCCAAAGAGGAGGATGACTTGGCTGTTGTCCTTTGTTCTGGAAGAGGACCAAAATAAGTCTAGTTACAATGTGTCTGACTGTGACTGATCAGACCAAAATGGACTTGGGAAGACTCTACCTACCACAGGTTGGTACAAATAGTTCATGTGAATATTTGGGGTTGATTCTTTAAATTTGCATATCTCACTTTTTTTAAGCTACTTCAGTTCTGCTTTGGTCGACCTTCTCTGATGAGGGCATGCCATGCTGAAAGGTTCTGTGTCAGTTTCTCCCATGTCACATACATAATCAATTCCAAAGTTCTTTTTGTTCCTTTTTAAAAATTTTATTTATTTTTAGTGGTCAGCATTCACTTTTATAAGATTTTGAGTTCTAAATTTCCCCCCACCCCAAATTAGCATGCAATCTGAGAAAGGGTATGCATGTATGATCATATTAAACATATTTCCACATTAGTCATGTTGTGAAAGAAGAATCAGCACAAAAGGGCAAAACTATGAGAAAGAAAAAAAGATTGAGAGAGAAAATAATATGCTTCAATCTGCATTTGGACTCCATAGTTCTTTCTCTGGATGTGGATAGCACTTTTCATCATGAGTCTTTTGGAATTGTCTTAGATCATTATATTGCTCAGAAGAGCTAAGTCTAACAAAGTCAGTCATAGCACAATGTTGCTGTTTCTGTGTACAACATTCTACTGGTTCTGCTCACTTCACTCAGCATCGGTTCATTAAAGTATTTCCAGGTTTTTCTGAACCATTTCTTAAGGAACAATAGTATTCCATTACATTTATAAACCACAACTTGGTCAGCCATTCCCCAGCTGAAGGGCATCCCCTCAATTTTCAATTCTTTGCCACCACAAAAAGAGCTGCTATAAATAATTTTTATACATGTGGATCCTTTTCCCGTTTTTATGATCTGTTTTATGGGAGAGTTCATCCCATTCACATTCACAGTTATGATTACTATCTGTGTCTTTCTCTCCATCCTGTCCCCCTATTTATGTTTTTCTTTCTTCTTTTTCCCTTTCCCTCCTCACTAGAGTTTTACTTTAAGCCAGGCCTCACTCAATCTTCCCTCCCTTCTCTCATCCCCCCTCTCTTTTCTTTCCCCTTTCCCCTCCTACTACCTATATGCCAAGTTAGATTGCTATACCAAATTGAATATGTTATTCCCTTTTTGAGCCAAATCCAATGAGAGTAAAGTTCAAATAATACTCATCTCCCTCCCTTCTTTTCCTTCTTTGTGCCTCTTCATGTGATGTAAATTACCCTTTTCTGCCTCCTCCTTTCCTCTTCTCCCATTACAATCCCTTTTCACCACTTAATTAGGTTTTTTTTATCATCACATCAAAATCAACTTATACCTACACCCTCTGTCTATGTGTATCCCTTCTAAATGTCTTAATAAAGATAGTCAAGAGCTATCATCTTCCCATGTATGGATATAAACAGTTTGGCCTTATTGAATAACATTTTTTTTCCTTTCCTGTTTACCTTTTTATGCCTCTCTTGAGTCTTGTATTTGAAGATCAAATTTTCCGTTGAGCTCTGGTCTTTTCATCAGGAAAGACTGGAAGTCCCCTATTTCTTTGAATATCCATCTCTTCCTCTGAAAGATTATTCTCAGTTTTGCTGGTTAGTTGATCCTTGGTTGTATTCCAAGCTCCTTTGCTTTACAGAATATCATATTCCAAGCCCTTCAATCTTTTAACGTAGAAGCTGCAAGGTCTTGCATAATCCTAACTGTGGTTCCACAATATTTGAATTATTTCTTTTGGGCTGCTTGCAGTATTTTCTCCTCGACCTGATAATTCTGGAATTTGGCTATAATATTCCTAGGCATTTCTTTCATGACTGTTTTACCCTCTGGTTCTAGGATCTCAGAGCAGTGTTCCTTGATGATTTCTTGAAAGTTTCTGTCCAGCCTCTTCTTTTGATCGTAGCTTTCAGGTAGACCAATAATTCTTAAATTATCTCTCCTGGATCTATTTTCCAAGTCAGTTGTTTTTCAGTGAGGTATTTTATGATTTCTTCTAGTTTTTCATTTTTTGATTTTCTTTGACTGATTCTTGATGTCTCATAGAATCATTAGCTTCCATTTGCTCCATTCTAATTTTTAAGGAATTATTTTCTTCAATGAGCTTTTGGCCTTCCTTTTCCATTTGGACAATTCTGCTTTTTAAGGCATTCTTCTGATTGGCTTTTTGGACCTCTTTTGCCTACTTTCCTGGCCTGTGCTCTGGTCTGTGAGTGACCACTAGCATTCTTTTCTGCCTTGGAAC